TGAGGTGTATCGGGAAAAGGATGGCCAAACCCCATTGCTTCCTTCAAATTCCTTAAACTGGAATTTGGGTTGGATCCACATTTGTGCGTGGTGTTTTCCATCCTATTCACAGGAAATGAAAGCAGAAGGGCCATTTTGCCAAATATTCCTTGTGGGAGGGCGGGTATTTGTGAATAGTTCTGGAGCAACCCAAAATTCTCAGAACTTTCTTTTTCAGAAATTCAGGCTCAATTCCAAGCAAAAACCAAACCAAACCCTAATAAGCATAGCAAGCGCAATATGAGAATGGTAAATTACTGGACCCATTACTGAAAGATGAACCTGAACAGGATTGTCCTTAGTAAAAGACCTAGAAAGGAAGCACCAACAAATTCTGCATTTGCTGCACGGCATTCCACCTTCTGGGTGCCGTTCCTAAAACAAGGCCCATCAGTTCTGCTCAGCAATTGCATTTTTGATAGTGCTTGCGGGGACAGAACAGCCCCCCCCCCAAAAGTGTAGGTGGGCTCCTTAAGGAAGACTCAGCAGTAAATAATTTTCATATTATTTCTGAAGTCATACTTTCAAGAAATGTCCTTCATAAAACTGGAAAACACCCAACCTGCAGGATTCAAAATTTAAACCTGGTGTTAAACAATTCTGTAATACCGAGTGAAATCTGATACTAGCAGGGAACCACAATGTCAGGAAAGTGCAAGAGCAAAGAATATTTTTACACTCCCTACAACTGAGAACCTTTCTTTCATTCTCCCCTTCCCGTATCGTAGCAGATGTCAACTGTAGTTAGATTCAATTCAACTTATTAGTGCGTGGCTTCTAGCCAACAGCCATTCACATTTACAGGCATATACTATCACATATGTCTTAATAAGAGAACCGTGTTTTTAAAAATGCATGCGATAAGTCACATATGCTACAGGGAATATGTGCATCTTTCACTTTTGGTGACAATGGAAGCTACTAAACTTTGCTGAGTGCAGCTGGGGAACATTAACATTCAAGAGGAATTCCTGATGACATTCAAAATCATGACAGAAGTGACAGCATTACCCCCCCCCCCCGCAAAAAAGCAAAAGAAATTGAGTCTTCTTTCTTTGTCATGCAAAACTGACTTTTTAGTCTGGACAAAAAGATGTCTTCTACCACCACAGTTTTCCACCAAGTTCCTGAAGGTTTTGCCTTTAGGAAAACTATTCCACAATATCTCATCTAGCGTGGAACTTCAGAGGATTCTGAATGATGCTTATGATTGTAATATTAATTCTCTTTGGGCATTTCTAGGCACTTCAAGGCTCATCGGCACCCTGGTGACCTGGGACTTAGAGCATGGTTCTGGAACCTCCGGGCTGGGGGCCACCTTCATCCCCTGAGAGCTCCCTTCCAGCCCCCGGCATGTAAATAGAATATAATTCACTGCACCAGGGTGAGGAAGGCTTTGGCTGCTGTCAGCCAGAGACCCATCCTTTCCTTTCTCGTGGTTTATAATCTTTAGACCAAACTTGGGCTGCACAGCTCCTTCAGGCAGAGGTTGCCTATAAAGAAAGAATTGTCCTCTGATAACTCTTTGAACATGGCCACCATATCAAGAAACATCTGGTTGAAGTTTCTCTTGATAAGCTACAGCAGCTTTCTCTGATTTGTGCTCTCTAGATGTGCTGGAATATAAAAACTATCATCCCCAGGCCATTCTGGGTACGAAGTTGTGTATACTGGTTGGGGGTGATGAGCGGAGCTAAAGTCCAAACTGGGGAAAGTTGCTCTAAGCATATCTCTCTTTCTGCCACCCAAGGCCATGCTTTCAGTCCAACAACTGGGAGTCAGAAATCCTTGTAAAGCTAGTGAAAATCCCCTACGGCCATTTACTTCTTTCTGCTTCAAGGAGTATCAGGTGGCCAGGTCATAAGTCTTATTCTAATGAATTACACTACATCAGGACAGATCCTATCAAGCGTATCACAAACAAGTGAAGGATGAGAACTAGGAAAAAAGGCACTCATTTCGTTCCAGGAATGAACAAAACCATGCAGTCTTGTCATCTTTTTAAGATCTGGTTTTAAGTATTTAAGGAAGCAAAATAAAATAAAATAAAATAAAATAAAAAAGGCACATCCCACTGGGAAGTTCTTCCACACAAGTCCATGAGAGAAGGGAAAGGCCACTGTGCAGCACGGCCCCACTGGGATGCAGAACGAGGCAAGGTGGGTGACACTCGGGGCTGGCGGTGGCAGCTCCTGGCCTTGGGGGGCAGAGCTGTGTGTGCTGTGTGGCTTGCCCCACACTCCTACGGCCTTCCGGGGTGGGTGGATGCTATGCCACTGCTGGTGCTGATGCAGGATTCAGCTTCCACACGTAGAATGGAACAGGCATTTTATTGTCTGAACTGTCTGGGCCAGCCCTTGCACAGGAGGGCTTCTCTGCCACCTGAGAACCTGGGGCCAGGTTCTCTTGTCACCAGAAGCAAAGGGAAGAGTTACACACACTCTGGGTGAAAGGGGGGGGGCGTCCTCCTCCTCCTGCCAGAAATGGCCTCATTAGGAAGGCTTCACTTACTCTCCACGAACTGAGGCTTTAAGGGGAAAGCTGTAACTTTGCACAGGTGGGTAAACTAATAAAATGTATTAAAAATACCAAGCAGAATGTAATTAATATGCCTAATTTACTCCCATGGGAACTAACTGAAGCAAAATCCATGAGCACATTCAAAAAGAACTCAAAGAGAAAGGCAACAGTGTATAAATTATACATAGAGGGAGGGAAGCAAGTCTGGCTGGTTGGCTGGCCATTGGAATGTCTGTCTGTCTGTCTGTCTGTCTGTCACCTGATAAATGGAGGAATTTTCTAACAGTGGCTGGAACAGCACCTTCTGATGGTGCAGTCGAATGTTCAGCCTCCACTGTGGAGGGCTGGCCACAGGACGGGCAGGATGTTATTGAACATTCATTCAACTCACACTCAATTCCCATTTGTGTTTGTGATCGCTGCTTGCTTTGTGCAAGTCAAGCAGTGATCTAATGGGAAATATGTGGAAATCAAGCAGTTTCTACAAAACTACAAAAAATCCCTCGAATTTGCAGAAATGCTTGAATTTGTGCAAACTCCCTCCATGGATTTCCCCCAAAGTCTTCTGAGGAAATTTGTACCTTCTGAAGTGGGAATTGGGAATGAGAGGAATGAAAGCAGTGGGCATCCTTATCGAACATGAACTGGGGCAAATTCACACCCATCTGCACTTGCCATATTCAGTAGGTAGTTGCTCCTAACATTTATTTATTTAAAACATTTTAATACCACCCCTTGCCATGGTCTTGGGATGGTTTAACAATAAGACAAAATAGAATGAAACACAGCATCCTAATCAAAATTTCCAATCAACAATAAAACCCCATATTAAAAACAATCAAGTCTTAAAACATTGGGAAAATAAAAAGGTTTTAGCCTGGCGCTGAAAAGTATAAAGTGACAGTGCCAGGTAAACCTCTCTGTGGAGCAAATTCCACAATTGGGGTGCCACTGCAGAGAAGGCCCTTCTCCAGGTAGTCACCCTCCTAATCTCCTTCAAGGAGGGCTCCTGGAGAAGAGCCTCTACCCCAGATCTTAAGGGGCAAGCAGGAAAGGACCACACTGTACCTGCCTGCCATACAGCTGTTAAAGGCAAAAGGCCTGTTAGGAGAAAAAGAGATGGCGATTCTCATTTAGCACCACGACCATGCTAAATAGACAAAGATTCAGACCCAGACTGTGAAGAGCTAAGCACCACAACCTGGGCCTGGTTGGATGAAGGTCAGTGTTAGTTTCTCTTAAAGTCTACTTTCTAAAAACCTTGCATCCTTTCCATTCTGTTTATGAATTATGAAGAAATTGACAAATCCTCATAAAAATGGACCGAACAAAATGGGCAGCCGTTCCTGCTTAGCTGTCATGACGACTGTGCTACTTAAGAGAGTTTTACTATTATTATTACTTTACTTTATGCCCAGTTTAGGAGTGGCTGCTACTAACAACTATGACCCTTCTGGAATGAATGGCAGAATTTTTGTGGGGAGGGGGAATAGACAGGGAGGAGCAAGAGGCACCACCAGGTCATCAGGTCTGCTGGCAGCGTCTGCTCCCCCCCTCCCCAGAACCTTGTCTCCAAGGTTGCACTTCAGACTTTGAAGGCACAGCTGGTACAGTCCCTCCTACACTGCTGGCAAGAGTAGGGAAAGAGTGCTCCAAGTCCTAGTTCCTGCACCAGAGCAACCTTCCAAGGTCAAAACTGGGAATCTGAAAAATCCCACGGGGATCGAGACTTCCTCTTTGGGGCACAGATCTGTTTGGTTTGCTTCACTTCTCTCTGAGAAGTAGCACATACCTTTAGATAGGCTCATTGCCCTCAAACACCACCACCACCACCACGTTGTGGGGCCAGAGAAAGCAGCTAAAGGAGCAGAATGCAATCTGGAATGTCTTTGAAAGGGGCTGCCTAGCAGGCCGCCTCACTCTTCTGGCAGAGCTTGCTTCACACACATGGAAATATTTTCTATACACACAAGCACATTTCAGCAACAGGCTAGGGAGCCCCGGCAAACAGGTCCAAGTGGAGACTCCCATGCAGTGAACGTATCCTCTGCCATTTCCCCTCTGTCAGACCTTCCCAGAGTTTGCAATTAAAAAGCATAATCTTTTTAGCATGGCCGCACTCCCCCTCAAGGCTAGGGGATCGCTGCACTGAATGTGATTATAATACCATTTAGCAGCTATTCATAGATGGCACATATTAATTTATGTAAACCAGGGAGGGCTTGGGGCATGCAGCCATCGGGGAGCCATGAAAAATCGAATGCCTGTCCTTGCTGATCGGGGAAGTTTTTAAAAAATGGATATGATTACAAAGTAACCCGAGTCACAATGTCTGTTTTTATTGCCTTGGTGTGGGTTTTTATTTGTGCCCGTTTGCTTGAAGTTCATTAAACTTGATTTTTCCCCCCAATGGATATTAAAAAAAGGGGGGGAGAACTTACTTTACAGGAATGTTTCGAGGCTTTATCTTCTCTGCACTCTGCAAATAAAAAAGGAAAGCAAAAGAGCTGTTAGCTAACCTTCGCAAGCATGACCTTTGAGAGAGGAGAAAGAACACAAGAAACAAATGAGCGTATTTCTGAGAACTGCAAATGAACACAACCGTGGAAGTTTCCACAATTAAACAGGAAGCATAACAAGAGAAGGAACTGATTTATCCATTTTAATGTGTTAATGCTACCATTTGGGAGAACAAATATTGGCAGTTACAGAGAATCTCAGAAATGCAGATTGCAAAGATACGACACTAAAAATGAGGGGCACCACATAGGTTCAGCATGCCCTCTGTTACAAGTATGTCCAGCAGAGGGTGTGCTGTGTGACATCACATGTTACCTGGAATACTTGAAGGCTGGCACCCAGATGGGTAGGTACCTCTGCGTCTATGCCTGATGATGCATTTAGACAACGTCAGATATCAGTGTGAATTATTATTGTGGTTGTTTCAAGTGCATTCCTATTATTATTAATTTTATTTCCATACCACCCCACAGCTGAAGCTGCCTGGCACTTTACAACTTTGCTTGGGTTTTGTTTTTTGGTTTTTTATATTGCATTCATAAGCCCATGGCTATACAATAAAATGTTATAATGACAGCGATTGATTGATTTAAAACAGTAATAAGAATAATCAATTTAAATGCCATAACACCAGTCATAAAAACATCTATATGATCAATAAAATACAATAAACATAAACAAGAATCAAAAAACCAAAACAATAAATACCAACAACAACAATCCACAGATACCAGTATCAATATATTAAAAGCCAGAATAAAACCAAATGATCACCAACAATTAAAACGGGAAGAGAATAAAAATGTTTTCACCTGGCACTGAAATGTATACAAAGTTGGTGCCAGCCATATCTCCCTGGGTGGGACATAACATTACATTTCTATCCCAGGATGCCCTTCTTGGAAGAAACTCAAGGGGGTTTTCAGGTGTCTCCTCCTCTCCATCTTATCCTCTCAACACCAGCCCTGTGAAGTAGGCTAGGCTGGGAGTGAGTGACTGGCCCAAAGCCATAAGCTCCATGGCAGAGGACGCAGATTGCCCGAGTCCCAGGCCACCACTCAGCCACACTAGTCCTCCACTATGGATTGTCCCGGGGAGAGGTGGGCTCTGCTACCTGCTTCCTTGGGCAACAACTGGGACATCAGCTTTCTCTGCAGTGGCTACCTGACCCCCCCTCTCCCTCCCCGAAATCAATTCCTCTGTGAAGTAGGCAGGCCCTGGCATTGGCAATTTTAGGCATTGCTCGAAAACAAATGAGTTTGCTCCAGCTTTGTTGGAGCCATGAGCTTTTATTTCAGCCTCACAGTACCCTCCCCTCTCTCCCCTCTCCTGGTCTTCTTTGCTTATTGTTGTTACTCTTTTATAAAATGCCTTGGGAATTGTTTCCAATGAGAAACAGGATATGAATATTGGAAACGGATCATCCCAAATTAACCACTTTTCCCTGAAGGCTAAACTCAGTATTTCACAATATTTGATGAAGGCAAAAAAGACACATATCTCTTGGGTGTGCCACATCTGTGAGAGACTGGAATGGCTGATTTCATGCTTGTTAAGGAGAGAGATTGTGGTGTGTATTCTAAGCGAGGGTCAGTAGCGCACAGACTACCAGTGAATGAATGGAGTATTAAAGACAACTGCTGATCAGAAATGTCTTCCAAAATTGCACCAGAGTACCATAGTCACACTACTGTTCTGTAGCCAGTTAATTGGCATAAGCTTCGCTGAACTCAGTGGGACTTACATCCAAGCAGACATGCACAGGTTCTTTGAGCTTGCTTTTTATTTACGTTTTTGGTAACTGCAGGAGAAACAAATTCACTTAGAGTGATTGCTGCAACGGAGGAATTAATTTTATGTTAACTACTGTCAGCCTTAAAAACAAGAGTAGGGGAAGGGTATGCTTCTCAGTAAGGCAGTCTCTTTCTCCAGAGCTGTTTTTATTAGCCAACAACAGAAAAGGGCAAGGGAAGACCAGATGTTCAGATCAATTTCCTCCCGTTAAACCTTTGAGAAAAACATTCCAAATCTTCTAAATGAGTGACTCTCCAGGCCCCATGGCCTGTACCACCTCAAATACCGAACCTGGTTCCAGTTTATTGCTGAATCCATTGATCTGTATACAGTCCATTTATCATTCATGAAAAGAGCTGGTGATCTTCACAGTATATTAGAAGAAACAACTCAGATCATCTGTCAACGGCCCTCTTATTTCTGTTTCCCTCTCCGTGGGGATTTCATCTCCTTCCATTCTTCTTGAATTAAAGTGTTGCTAAGCAACACTGCTGGGGGCCTGGATGGCAGAATGGCTAGAGTCTATCAAGCTGTTTAAACTGCTGTAGATTTTAGTGGTGATGTCTTTTGTGTGCGTGTGCGTATAAAATGCCTACTTTGATGGCATAATCTGCAACCGAAACATACTGCTTCAAAATTTTCTACCTATGTAATATTTCAGATAGCTGTACACCTCCCTTGCTGCCCTCTCTTTATCGATGCCTTTGTCAGCAGAAATGACAGACACCATTAAGAATGTTGGCAGGCAGACTTGGCAGGGCTGGAAGGACAGAAAGGCTGGGTTCTTGTGGACCTTGGGTGGAGAATCTGCCCTCTCTACCAAGGCGGTGCCACACAGTGTCCTTTTGTGACATTGGCCACCACTTCTTCTGCCAGGACGTATCTGAATGACCAGAAAAGCCTGAGCAGAAAACAAAGGGAGGATATCCAAAAGGCCATGGGCACCTGTAGCTCTGCAGGCCAAGGTGAGCAGGGAACCAGCAATGGAGCAAGTAGGTGTCAATAGGGAAGCTGGGTTTAGGACTCACCATTCTCCTAGCAAACCATTTCTCTGAAGTTGCCCCAAATGTGGAGCTCTAACATGGGCCCCAGAAGCATGAAAGTCCCTCAGGACACCCCTCTTGATGTTTGCTGAACTCTGTGCCCTCTCAGATTTTAGGTGAGACTGAGGGAGCTGGAAAAGAGGAGACTCAAGGGGATCTGTTGGTGACATATAGGTACACGAGAAGGTGTTGCATGGAGGTGGGCAGAGACCTGCTTTCCCCTGTGGAGGAGGGCAGGATGAGTTCCAATGGAGCAAAACTCAGGGAACCAAGGTTCAACTGGGGTGCCAGGAAGTACTTCCTGGGAGTTAGGACCCCAAGGGTATGGAATGGGCTTCCACGGGAGGTGGCTGAAGCCCCAATGGTGAGGGTGTTCAAGGATAGGCTGGACATGCACATGGTGGGCATGTCGTGAGTGGAGCCGGCTGGAGCCAGGGGTCAGACTAGATGGCCCGGGAGACCCCTTCTGACGTGCTCTGTTTCTCTGTTTCTATTATTTTATTTCAATTAAAAGCATGTTCATTATGTGGGAGGCTGGCTTGGAGGAAATCCAAGCCCTGTTGTTCAGAACTATCTCCACTCACCAACAATGCAACTGGGTCATGCATGGGCCCAGAAGGCATTCTTGGAAAATAAACATGGAAGACTCTGCAGATCAGCAAATGCAGCCATCTTGGAGGGGGTAAACTAGGGGTGATGGAGTGTGTCCTGGGGGATGTTTGTGGGGTGGCGAGAGTGAGGATGGGTCATTAATGTGCATGGGGGCTTGCACATGTGTGTAGGGTGTGCATGCGTATCTCTGAGCACCACCACTTTGCCTTCTATGAAATGGACATTTTGTAGCACCTAAAGAAGCCAAATATCTGATCTGACATTTCTGGGTACAGATCCTACCACCACCTGGCACTGAGTTTCTTGGTGAAGGTACTTGTTTGTCAGATTTATCAGCTTGCCTTCTGTGAAGTGGATGGGGCAAGTCCACTGACCCATGGTAGCCATCTTGTGACAGTGCTCACGGCATATACTCAGCTTTCCCAAAGTGCCTGCTGCCTCAGGAAAATGGTGCGGTTCCTGGTAATGCATTGCTATAATGACGGACTGTGATGGCATTTGGTTTGATGCATTCTGCCTTACGTAATGGAAACAATGTACAGATTTCTCTTGCGGAAGAATCCATTATTCCCTTGAGTGTCATAATCTTCCAAGGAAGGTTTGTCCTCTGGGCCACAGTGAGGGTTATAATGTTAAGGGGCAGGGCCTTTTTGGTGGTTGTTCCCTCACTCAGAATGCTCTGTTCTTCCCAGGGAATTCTGTCCACCTGTTGCACTTTTATTGAATATGTTCTACTTCTCAGAAGAAATGTCTGAGCCCTTAACATGGCTGCCATGCTTTACCTTTGGTATATTTTATTATCAGCATTATTGCCTTGAGTAAAAATGTGATTTAAAAAAATCTATGCCCCTCCTTTTCATGGTGGAAACCATCAAGTAACAGAAGAAATAATGTTTATTGCTCATTCTTTCTGAAACTTCTTACATCTCGTTTTATAAGCAATTTTAGTACGTGGTCCCTTGGTAACTTTTCCTTTTGAAGCATTTGTTTTTTCTTTCTGTGCCTTATTATTTACAATAATATATATAGAGGGAGAGTTTACAAGTACAGCTGAGAGAAACAACATCTCACACCTTTATTGAACATAGAAGAAACTAAAATAAAAACAATAAAAATGTACAGCAACAGCACTGGGGAAAAGAATGGAAGGTATTAAGATGAATCATGCTTCATTGTGGTTCAAAGCTCTGCCTAAAAGGAAGAGCCTTTCCCTGGCCTCTGCATGATGGTAGAGGAATCATGGGCCATGAATCGAGGTCTAGAGAAAGAAGTTCCACAACCAAAGTTCTACCACAGAGAAATTCTCTCCCAGCATTTGTAGCAGCTGGTGCTAGGGGCACTGAGAGAAAGGGCTGAAGGACAGGTAGGTTCCTATGGTTATCTGGTAGATTTGCCAAATCAGACTGATAGTTGGGTACCAAAAGTCTCCGTTACAGAACTGCTCACTGTATGTTTGCATTGCTGCAGTTCAATATTTATGCACTTTATCTTGCTTTCAAGAAACCGACTG